TTTTTGGGGTCCTACCACCATCTAGAAGGTCTCACCACCAATTCTTGGGGTCCCACCACCGATTTTGGGGGTTCCACCACCATCTAGAAGGTCCCACTACCATTTTTGGGGGTGCTATGACCATTTTTGGGGGTCCCACCACCATCTAGAACGTTCTACCACTAATTTTTGGGGTCCTACCACCATCTAGAAGGTCCTACCACCAATTTTTGGGGTGCTATCATGATTTTTCGGGGTCCCACCACTGATTTTGGGGGTTCCACCACCATGTAGAAGGTCCCACCACCAATTTTTGGGGTCCCACCACCGATTTTGGGGGTTCCACCACCATCTAGAAGGTCCCACCATCACTTTTTGGGGTTCCACCACCATCTAGAAGGTCCCACCACCATTTTTTGGGGTTTCATCACCAAGTTTTGGGGTCCCACCACCCACCAGAAGGTTCCATCACCATTTTTTGGGGTCCCACCAGCTATTTTTGGGGTCCTACCACCATCTAGAAGGTCCTACCACCAATTTTTGGGGTGCTATCATGATTTTTTGGGGTCCCACCACTGATTTTGGGGGTTCCACCACCATGTAGAAGGTCCCACCACCAATTTTTGGGGAGCTTCAACCAACTTTTGGGGTCCCACAACCAATTTTTGGGGTCCTACCACCATCTAGAAGGTCCCACCACCAATTTTTGGGGAGCTTCAACCAACTTTTGGGGTCCCACAACCAATTTTTGGGGTCCTACCACCATCTAGAAGGTCCCACTACCATTTTTGGGGGTGCTATGACCATTTTTTGGGGTCCCACCACCATCTAGAACATCCTACCACCAATTTTTGGGGTCCCACCACCCCTGAGAAGGTCCCACCACCCTTGGGGGATGTCCCCTTTGTTGACCTCTCTCCATCCCACCCCATTCCAGACCTGGCTCTTCGGTTATGAGTTGACTGATACCATCATGGTCTTCTGCGAGGAGAAGATCCTCTTCATGGCCAGCAAGAAGAAGGTGGAGTTCCTCAAGCAGGTGGCCCACAGCAAAGGTGGGGAGAACACCAACGGGGTCCCCACCATCACTCTTCTCGTCCGGGAGAAGGTGAGGAGAAGGCTTCAGGGTGGTGGTGGTGGGTCTTCAAGATGGTGGTTGGGGTCTTCAGGGTGAAGATAAGGGCTTCAAGATGGAGTTTGGAGCTTCAAAATGGAGTTGGGGGCTTCAAGATGGAGGTTGAGGGCTTCAGAGTGAAGATAAGGTCTTCAAGATGGCGGTTGGGGCTTCAAGATGGAGGTTGAGGGGTTCAGGGTGGTGGTGGGGTCTTCAAGATGGCGGTTGAGGGCTTCAAGATGGAGGTTGGGGGCTGAGTTGGGGGCTTCAAGATGGAGGTTGAGGGCTTCAGAGTGAAGATAAGGTCTTCAAGATGGCGGTTGGGGCTTCAAGATGGAGGTTGAGGGGTTCAGGGTGGTGGTGGGGTCTTCAAGATGGCGGTTGAGGGCTTCAAGATGGTGGTTGAGGTCTTTAGGGTGGAGATAAGGGCTTCAAGATGGCGGTTGAGGGCGTCAAGATGGAGGTTGGGGCTTCAAGATGGCGGTTGGGGTCTTCAAGATGGCAGTTGAGGCTTCAAGATGGAGGTTGTGGGCTTCAAGATGGAGGTTGTGGGCTTCAAGATGGCGGTTGGGGTCTTCAAGATGGCGGTTGAGGGCTTCAAGATGGCGGTTGAGGGCTTCAAGATGGCGGTTGGGGGCTCCAGGGTGGAGATAAGGTCTTTAAGATGGTGGTTGGGGGCTTCAAGATGGTGGTGGACATGGAGCTGGGGTGGAGATGAGGTGGAGCTGGGATGGAGGTGGACATGGAGATGGAGATGGTGGTTGAGGAGAAGATGGAGGTGGACATGGAGATGGAGGTGGAGATGGGATGGAAGTTGAGAAGATGGTGGACATGGAGATGGAGATGGAGATTGAGAAGAAGATGGAGATGAGGTGGACATGGAGATGGGATGGAAGTTGAGGAGTAGATGGGATGGAGATGGAGATGAGGATGAGTTGGACATGGACATTGAGGTGGACATGGAGATGGGATGGAAGTTGAGGAGTAGATGGGATGGAGATGGAGATGAGGATGAGTTGGACATGGACATGGAGATGAGGTGGAGATGGAGATGGACATGGAGATGGGATGGAAGTTGAGGAGAAGATGGAGATGGAGGTGGAGATGGAGATGAGGTGGACATGGAGATGGAGATGGAGGTTGAGGAGAAGATGGAGATGAGGTGGAGATGGAGATGGACATGGAGATGGGATGGAGGTTGAGGAGAAGATGGAGGTGGGATGGAGATGGATGTGGACATGGAGATGGAGATGAGGTGGAGGTTGAGGAGAACATGGAGATGGAGATGGTGGTTGAGGAGAAGATGGAAGTGGGATGGAGATGGACGTGGAGATGGAGATGAGGTGGAGGTTGAGGAGAACATGGAGATGGAGATGGGATGGGATGGGATGGTTGTTGAGGAGAAGATGGTCTTGGACATGTCGATTTAGGGATGACCCCACCATATTTGACCCTCCAAACCCAAGATGTCCTCTTCTCCACCCCACCACTCCAGTAGAAACCAGTTGAAGACCCAAGTTTGGAGATGTCCTCTCCACTCCTTGACCCAATTGTCTTCTTCTCCCCGCAGAACGAGAGCAACAAGGCCAACTTTGAGAAGATGATCGAAGCTCTGAGGTCCAGCAAGGGCGGGAGGCGCATCGGGGTCTTCAGCAAGGACAGGTTCCCCGGGGACTTCATGAAGAGCTGGAACGACTGTCTCAGCAAGGAGGGCTTCGAGAAGGTCCGTTCAGGTGCCACCACCACCGCTGTCTTCTCCTGGGGGACACCTGGGTTGTCCTAAAGGTGGTTCTTCAGGTTCTTCTCCAGGTTCTTCTCCTGGTGGTTCTCCTGGTGGTTCTCCTGGTGGTTCTCCAGGTTCTTCTCTAAGTTCTTCTCTGAGTTCTCCAGGTTCTTATCCTGGTGGTTCTTCTCCAGGTTCTTTTTCTGGTGGTTCTTCAGGTTCGTCAAGTTCTCCATGTTCTTCTCCAGGTTTTTCTCCTTCAGGTTCTTCTACAGGTTCTTCGTGTTCTTCTCTAAGTTATCCAGGTTCTTCTCCTGGTGGTTCTCCAGGTTCTTCTCTAAGTTCTTCTCTAAGTTCTCCAGGTTCTTCTCGAGGTTCTTCTGGTTCTTCTACTTCGGGTTCTTTTCCAGGTTCTTCTCCTGGTGGTTCTCCAGGTTCTTCTCCTTCAGGTTCTTCTCCAGGTTCTTTTTTAGGTGGTTCCCCTTGACCTTCCCTTTGATCTTCTCCTTGGCCTTCTCCTTCAGTTTCTCTTGACCTTCTCCTTGACCTTCTTTTGAGGTTCTCCTTAAGTTTCTCTTGAGGTTCTTGATGTTCTCCTCCAAGTTCTCCTTGAGCTTCTCTTGAGTTTCTCTTGATGTCCTTGACGTTCTCCTTGACGTTCTCCTTGACGTTCTCCTTGACGTTCTCCTTGACGTTCTCCTTGACGTTCTCCTTGACGTTCTCCTTGACGTTCTCCTTGACGTTCTCCTTGACGTTCTCCTTGACGTTCTCCTTGACGTTCTCCTTGACGTTCTCCTTGACGTTCTCCTTGACGTTCTCCTTGACGTTCTCCTTGACGTTCTCCTTGACGTTCTCCTTGACGTTCTCCTTGACGTTCTCCTTGACGTTCTCCTTGACGTTCTCCTTGACGTTCTCCTTGACGTTCTCCTTGACGTTCTCCTTGACGTTCTCCTTGACGTTCTCCTTGACGTTCTCCTTGACGTTCTCCTTGACGTTCTCCTTGACGTTCTCCTTGACGTTCTCCTTGACGTTCTCCTTGACGTTCTCCTTGACGTTCTCCTTGACGTTCTCCTTGACGTTCTCCTTGACGTTCTCCTTGACGTTCTCCTTGACGTTCTCCTTGACGTTCTCCTTGACGTTCTCCTTGACGTTCTCCTTGACGTTCTCCTTGACGTTCTCCTTGACGTTCTCCTTGACGTTCTCCTTGACGTTCTCCTTGACGTTCTCCTTGACGTTCTCCTTGACGTTCTCCTTGACGTTCTCCTTGACGTTCTCCTTGACGTTCTCCTTGACGTTCTCCTTGAGCTTCCCCTTGATGTTCTTGAGGTTCTCTTTGAGGTTCTCTTTGAGGTTCTCTTTGACCTTCCCCTTGACCTTCCCCTTGACCTTCCCCTTGACCTTCCCCTTGACCTTCCCCTTGACCTTCCCCTTGACCTTCCCCTTGACCTTCCCCTTGATGTTCTTGAGGTTCTCTTTGAGGTTCTCTTTGAGGTTCTCTTTGAGGTTCTCTTTGAGGTTCTCCTTGACCTTCCCCTTGACCTTCTCTTGATGTTCTCCTTGAGCTTCTCCTTGATGTTCTTGAGGTTCTCTTGATGTTCTCCTTGACTTTCTCCTTGAGGTTCTGCTTGAATTTTTCATTGACCTTCTCCTTGAGGTTCTCCTTGAGGTTCTCCTTGAGGTTCTCCTTGAGGTTCTCCTTGAGGTTCTCCTTGAGGTTCTCCTTGAGGTTCTCCTTGAGGTTCTCCTTGAGGTTCTCCTTGAGGTTCTCCTTGAGGTTCTCCTTGAGGTTCTCCTTGAGGTTCTCCTTGAGGTTCTCCTTGAGGTTCTCCTTGAGGTTCTCCTTGAGGTTCTCCTTGAGGTTCTCCTTGAGGTTCTCCTTGAGGTTCTCCTTGAGGTTCTCCTTGAGGTTCTCCTTGAGGTTCTCCTTGAGGTTCTCCTTGAGGTTCTCCTTGAGGTTCTCCTTGAGGTTCTCCTTGAGGTTCTCCTTGAGGTTCTCCTTGAGGTTCTCCTTGAGGTTCTCCTTGAGGTTCTCCTTGAGGTTCTCCTTGAGGTTCTCCTTGAGGTTCTCCTTATGACGTTCTCCTCCCCGGCAGGTGGACATCAGCGCGGTGGTGGCCTACACCATGGCGGCCAAGGAGGACGTGGAGCTGAACCTGATGCGCAAGGCGGCCGCCATCACCTCCGAGGTCTTCACCAAGTTCTTCAAGGAGCGCGTCATGGAGATCGTGGACGCCGACGAGGTCACAGGGACACCAATTCGGGGCCTTTTGGGGGGTTTGGGGGCTTTTTGGGGGGTT